TTGTAACAGGACTGTTCTACTGTACTGGGACTGTAGCTCCTACTGTGACAGGACTGTTCCACTGTATATTACTTTAGTCCCCCATTGTAAATGGTTAAAATGACATATCCTTACCTACAATGCAGTGGCCACTGGACATATCCTTACCTTGTAAGGTGATTATATATAATTTTTTTCTGCGTCTACGTTGTCTTGAGATTAGAAAGCGTCTGGGCGACTCTTCATTCGTCCTCCTCGCTCCCCAGTGCAGATCAGTGCGCGCCTCTTACGGTGTGTGCCGGCTCCGCGTCCGTGTGTTTCTGTTCGTCTGTCTGCGTATCCATCTTCCCCTTAACGTACAGGGAGTGTACCCGTGATCTCGCCAGTCGCAGTATGCTCATATATCGGCTTTCAAAGGAAAGAACCTCCTCAGCGCTCTGGCTGCTCTATGAACGCCCGTCCTTCAGCTTTGGCGTGGGAGGCCGTGGCTCGCCCGCGTCGTCTTGCGGTCGTGCCGCCGATCCTGCGTGGGGTTGTTTTTTTGTTTTGTGCGTGAATGTATTTTCCCTTCCGCGAGTGCGAGTTCCGTGTTTGTGTTCTCGTGTCGGCTGTGTGTGTATGTATGTGTGCGGTTGTCCTGTGAACCACGCAGCGCCTTGGTTACGGGCCGCTCTCATTCCGCCCGAGTGCTTATTTATTTATCGCGGCGCCTGGTCCGCACACTCCGCCGGGCGTCACCTGTTGAAGACAGCGGCGGCCCGAGCTCATTTCTCGGCTGGGCGCTCTCAACCGCGGCTGCCTACCCCTGCATTTCCACGCGAAGTTTTTTCACAACCCCCCCTCTCTCTCTCTGTCCTAACTCTTAAACCCCAGGCCCTCGGCGAAGCGTGTGAAAACAGTCTGCTCGTCTCTCTCCCTCCCCGTCAATTCAGGGGCAGCTTACGGGAAAATAAGTCAGCAACAGATGTAGCTGCAATTTGGGTTGTTGTTGTAAGCAGTACCGATAGGCCCACTAGTTGCTGTAGCGACAGCACCAGGACCAGCAGCAGTATTAGTAGTATACACAACAGTGTTAGTACTAGTGACCGTAGTAACTGCAGCGATAGTTTTAACACCTGTAGCGGTGGTACTCACGGTAGCCGCAGCAGGAGCGGTTGTAGCAATAGTCGCTGTAGTAACAAATTGGCAAGAGTGTACACGTACACTACCTTTATTAAGCGCCTTCTGTCCGAAATAACTTAAGATTTTCAGGTTTTACACATGTATTTTTAGTTTTCATATTACTTCTGCATAACCTTTACAAGTCCACATTATCATAAACCTGTATCACCGACTCGGATACGGCGAAAGGAGTCGTCGCAGGGCTCGGAAAGTGGCACCAGGGCTCCGCCTGCCGGCAGTGTTAGACGATTGATTGTACCGATTGTAGTTAACGGCTTTCGACTTGTTACTGCACAGTTCTGCACCGTGCCACAATACTGCACTAACTGTTCGTTTTCCTTATCCTTGTAATGTAGTACACATCAGTACCGTTCCGCGCAGTGTGTCAGAACTGTACTGTTCCACTGCGATACTCTTTATGTGTGCCAGTTATAAGATGAATGGAGCAATGACACTTCGTACACACTCAGGGGAAACGGCATAGGTCCAGGGCGATATTTCGAGCAGGTCCGTCAGTCTCCACGCACGCCTGCGTGGAGAACACGCACCGGGGTGGGTCATTAATCGATAAAGAGCCCACGGGTGTTAACTGCAGTAACTCATCGATGGGAACTTGATCCTCGTGGTACCATCTGGTTTTGGGCCAGCTCTCATTGATCGATTGTTTGGTCAGATCAGCTCACTTTATTTTACCTGTAATTACAGTACTTCCCGGACGGCGGTTCGACAGCGTCCCGACTACCTTAAAAAAAAAACCCTGAGCCCGGGACCACGTGACATCAAGGACCAATGGCAGAGCCCGGTGTCGGGTTGCTAAGGAAGTGGCGGGGACTCGCCTCTCTAGCCCTGGAGACCGCCGCTTGAATGTAAACAAGGAAAGTTAATTTGATTAATGAAGTAAAACAAACCTGGAAAGCACCGGGAGGATTGAAGGTAAAATTTCGGTGTCTTCGGGATTAAGTCGTGAGGTGTCTCACCACTCTATAAAGCTGTTTTTTTATATTACATGAAATACAATCTCGAGAGCGTCTTTACCGCTTGGAACAGCACCTGCATTGTTTACTATCTGGTAACTGGACAGACTGGTCTAGGTTGTGCCAGATAACGGAACGGTGTGATGTTACAGTAGAATAAAATGTTATTTCACACCCTTTTCCAGGTTTCTGGAGTTATTATTTTACAAGGATCAAACACCTGATTTTTTTCTGCAAGTAACTTGACGCGCCTGCCAGTAGGAAACAGCTCGTATTTCTATCACAGTGCATAGTGTGTGATTTATTAACAATGGGTTCGTAACAGCATACTATAAAATGCGTTAAAACGTGAGTTAAGAGCATCCTACCACAAGTGCCTTCCCCTTTTCACTCCCAACTTAATTTCAGAGTGATTAAAATTAAATTGAATCATTATTTTCCAGTTTGTAACAACAGAGTAGCCTGAAAGAAGCAATTGTATCATTAATAGATTGAAGAATGCAGCTTTGAGGATGCATCTGCACTGAATCTGAGCAGTGTGATAAGAACATAAGACAGATTAGACATAAGAAGATCAGCAATAATATTATAAAGATTACATTACAAAAGAGGAGGCCATCTAGCCCATTTGATGGTTATTAATTGATCCAAGGAGCTTATCCAATCGTTTTAGTAAAGACGTCTGTGAAATGGTTTCAACAACAAGGCTGGGTAGCTTGTTTTGTTCCCTACTCTTTGGCTAAAGAAGCATTTGTTCTATGCTCTTAAAGCGTTTCAGCATAGTTTACATACAGTACAGTGTGTGTCCCCTTGGTCATGTTCCATGGTTTAATCTGCTGGTATCCACTGGTCCCCCTGCGTGATGGTAATGTTTTTCCAGACATACAGACCAGCACTTCAGTGGGCTCAATATGAGAGCAAATTAATTAAGTGAGTCTGTGAATTGATCATCCAATGAACGTTCTTCAAAGGTGAAGGAACTGACTCGGGTGTTTAAAATCCTCCGGGCCATTGAGAACATCAGCCCATTGGATGTCTTCAGAATCAACAGAGCAAAACAAGCGAACAAGTGGAAACGAAGGGGAAGCACATTCATCTTGTTTGTAACCTAACAATTATATGACCTTGATTTATCACCATTGTTCCCTATGCATGTAATAGAAATTCATTGGCATGTTTCACAAGGTTATGGGTGCTCCTGTTCTAAAATAACCCTGGCCAGTGCCCGCTGCAGTGTAGTCCTCTCTCACATTGCAGTATGGTGCTCTTTGCCTCTGTGATCTGATTTCTTCCTCAGCGCAGCAGCCTTTAGGTGAGGTATGATTTCCCAGGTCAGATCGTTAGCACTGACAGCTGGTCTCGGTGCCGGAATAGTTCAGGGACCAGCCAGCATTGTTGTAAGATGAGGGTGTCCGTAAACCTGTGAAGAGATGGCAGAATAGATGGCTATTGCTACAGGATGATGCTGATAATGAGAACAATCTACCTTACCTGTGAAGTGTATTTCGTATACAGTATCATTCACTTTTTTTGCTTTACTTGTATACAGGCTTAAATGTTTTGACAGTACCTGTATTTCATTTATCTTTCCAGTGTCAGTGTGAAATAGTGTCCTGTTGTGTCTTGTGTCTGCCAGTGTGTAACGGTGTTCTGTTGTATCTTCTGTCTGCCAGTGTGTAACGGTGTTCTGTTGTGTCTTGTGTCTGCCAGTGTGTAAGGGTGTTTCTCTCTCAGCAGGATGGCGGAGCTGCACATTATAGGCCAGATTGTGGGGGCCAGTGGCTTCCCTCAGAACAGCCTCTTCTGCAAGTGGGGTGTCCACACAGGTATTCACCAGCCATGATCAGGCCTACCTTCACTCAGTTCTAAACCTTCAATGATTTGATGTCCTCCCTTATCTCAGTGAGGACACAGTGCACGTGCGTTACAGTGTTGTGTGTGTTGCAGGAGGGGCATGGCGCCTGCTGTCAGGGCTGAGGGAAGGGCAGACACAGGTGGACTCTCCCCAGATTGGTGAAGTGGCCTATTGGAGCCATCCCATAGACCTACACTTTGCCACCAAGGGACTGCAAGGTACTTCCTCCTCCTTCTCTTTCCTTCTTCCCTGTCTCAGTTGCTTACCTCTCTTCTCCTTCTGTCCTCTCTCCTGTCTTTCCCCTTTTCTTCCTGTTTCTCATTCTGTTCCTCTCCTTTCTCTCTCTGTTTCCCCTTTCTTCCTATCCTCTCAGTCTCTGTGATTTGGAAAAAAACAACATAAATGTTGCCCCACAACTGTAATCATACATTACAGCACATTGTCTGTTCATCTGTCGAGTTGACTCATTTTAATGCACATCTATGTAAACCTTCTTCCTTTGGTTAATGGTTTCTGCGCTGTATTTAACAGTGAACTGAAATGGCCCAGAGTTTGATTTATGAATGCATAAAATTGCCATTTTTATTGAGCACACATCTTTTTTTTAAGATCAATTTCACCTTACAGTATGTTGTCTCCAGCTCAGAGCTGATGTTTCTGCACTGATGTTTTCAGTGTGTCCACACACTTTGCAGTGGGCCTTCCTTTTACTGCGAGAGGACCGCATCTTTTCACATGTGCTGTGCAGTGACGTCAAGCATTCTGAACTGCAGTTTCAGCAGAGTTAACCCTTGCTCTTTGTTTCTTGGATGGATGAAGACAAGCTAACGTTGACTCCCACTGTCAAGGGTTATACTGTAGTTCCTATGAAAAACGAGGGGTTTGCAGAATTCAGTTATGGGGAAGAAATATCCATCTGGGTGAATGGAAGACTTGCACTGACCTGGATTTTTTGGGGTTTGCTTTTTGATTATTTTTTTTTACTCCATCTGGAAAGAACAGTTTGACTTGAGCTTTGTCTCTCCAGGGTGGCCCAAGCTGCACCTGCAGGTGTGGGACCAGGACTCGTTTGGCCGCTGCCAGATGGCTGGCTATGGGTTCTGCCACGTGCCCTCCAGCCCTGGGCACCACCGACTGCGTTGCGGCACCTGGCGGCCCCTGGGGCCCTGGCAGGACAGGCTGGTGCAGACCTTCGTGGGAGGGGGGCCACAGCTGCGCTCCCCTGACCTCATCTACACTGGGGCAGACCGCTACAGACTACACACGGTGGCTTCGGGCACCGTGGACCTGGAGCTGAACATCGTCTTGAGACACTTCGACCGCTACGGAGTAGAGAGCTGAGAGAGGAGGAGAGGCAGAAGGGAAGCGCAGGGGAAGGTTTGAGAGAGGGTTTGGTGTGTGGGGCGAGAGGGAGAACGAGAGAGAGAATGGGAGGGGATGTGAGGACTTGAGGAGGCCAGCAGGCTGCGAGCTGTCTGCAGTGGAAAACTCAGGACGGCTCTCAGGTCTGTCCAGTTCTGGACCTCAGCAGGGAAAGAGGGGAAACAGTTGCCGTGTGTGGACAGGTATCATGCTCTTTGTAAGTATGGCTCTACCCCTGCTCTGCCACAAGGGGGCAGGCTGAGTCTTGGAATGGCATCTCTCATACAAGTTCCCATTAACACGTTGACAGTCACACGCAATGAAACTAATCCCATTCTTTGTTAAAATGAATTTTTGTATTTGAACCCAGCGTGACTTTTGTATATTTTTATATATGTATTGTGTTTTAGAGTTGGAAACCATTTTACTTAATTTTTTTTTAAAACGCATATATTAAAAGTTTGGTTTTCCATAGTTTCTCCGATGTTTAATTGTGGGTCAGTAAATGAAACTATGAGGTCTTGTGCCTCTTGTTTGAGGGCTCTTGTGCTGCTGCTTCTTACCTTTATCTTCTTCTTTGCCATCTTTCCTTTCATCTTTTTCCACTTACTATATATCATGATTGTCATCTTTTCTCTTTACTAACCTGTTTTTATTGTTTTGAATGATTGTATTCCTCATAATTGTCTTAATCTTTCTGCATGGTTCTTCTGCGTAGGGCAAGAGAGATGTGTTCTCTTTCAGTATCTCGGTGTGGGAGGCTTGTTTGTGCACAAGTGACAGTGTTTTTGTTTGAGTGCGAGAGTGTGTACTATAATGTGCGACTGAGTGGATTTGTGTTTCACAGTGTGAGTTTGTAACTCATTGTGTTCTTGTATCCCCCTGTTTCAGTGTATCTTGTCTCCTGTTGTTCTGTGCCGTGTGGGGTAGCCCTGTGGAAAAAGGAAGGAAAGATGTGTTTGAGGTCTTTGAGAGGACATGTGCAGGGGAAGATAGTGCAATAGGAATTATCTATGTGCAGTAGACTAAGAACCACACTAATAAACTTCCCCATAGTATTTCCTGGCTGTTGGACTTATTCAAGTCACGGTCAATCGCTACTGCGCAGAAATGTGTTAGCTGATCACTTTGTTTTAGTTAGTTCACTTTGCCTGTCCGTCTGTCAGTGTGTCAGTCAGCCGGTCAGTGTGTCACTCAGTTAGTGAGTCAGTGGGTTATTCAGCTGTCTTGGTAGCTACTCAGACTTCCAAGTCTTTCTGTATGAAGAGAGAGCAACACTCTCACAGTCGGAGAAGAAACAGATGTTCTAGCGTTGCATCCGTTTACCCTCATTTCCTGGGCGGAGAGTTTCTGGCTCTTTTAGAGCTGCAACAGGAACGAAAAAAATTAAATAGAGGGAGGGAGGGTATGGAACAGCCCTCACTAATCATTTTGTCACTAGCAAGCTCTGACAAGCAGAAGTAGTTGAGGAGAGAGAGAGCGTGAACAGAAAAAGAAAAGTGGCTGAAAGAGAAAGGTTCCGAGCTCTTAACAGAGAGCCAGAGAGCTGATAAACGGGGGGGAAAATCAGTTAAAGAGACGAAAAACAGACAAATCGGGACACAGAGTGAGAAAGAAAGACTACGTTCGGATCAAAACTTTTAATAGAGGAGCTCCGAATGAACACTTACTACAGCTAGCACTACAACTCCTGCTGAGACACACAGACTGGTTTGAGCTGCTTGATTTTCATACTCTGTTCTTTTCAAATGTTTGTGCTTTAACGTCTTAAGGTTTATTTTCAAGAAATTCCCTTTAAATATTTGTTTCACCTTTTTTGCCTTGAAACGGCTCCTCTGTTTGTTTGTTGAGTTTTATTTTTGGAAAGAGCACGGCTCTTCGGCTTGGTTGGAAGGAAGGGAGTAGTTTCGTTTGCCTTCTTCCAGTTGCTTTAATATTTCTAATAAGGTCCAGACAAGGAAAGGTGGGGGAGGTGGTACGTTGGGTTGTAATTGAGAGGTGCTCTGGGCTCTGGCTGCTGTGTCAGAGGGGTGCCTTGCTGTTACTGCTGCTTTTTTCCAGGCACATTATTCGGCTTCCTCTGGGCTGCCTTCTCCTACGCTCTGTAACACCTCATCCCCTCTGGGCTCCTCTCACACTCTCTCTGCGCATACTACAGGGAAGAACTGTTATTTTGGAAAAAAAAACAGACTTTATTTTTAAGCCTCTGTGTTTTGTTTTGAAGCAGAATTGAAACTGCTGATGGTGAAATGAGGAGTACCAGTTTCCTTTAGATACATTACAAATTTTTAGCTTATTGAGCTTTTATATATATATAAATGTATTTATAGTCTTTTTTAATTTATTAATCCCAATTCCCCCCCCACTGTTTTAATTCAGTTTTTGGTAGCGGATTATTTATTGTCTCAGAACGTGTTCTGTATTTATTTGTTTATTTGAAGAGAACAGCTCTTCTGTGATAGTGTGCTGCGTGTGTTGGCTCTCTTGCTCTGTCCTTGTACCTTTTGGTGAGAAGGCTGGTCAGCTTTAATATCTGCTACTGCTGTCTGAAGCGGTCTGATCCGGAGTGTCACCGGCAAGGCAAGCTAACAGATCTGTCTCAGGAAGTCCGGGTCATCTGAGAGTACTTCTGTTTTCTTCTTTACCGCTTCAACTTGATCGTGGAGAGGAGGAGGGGAGTCACAGCGAGAAGGAAGGAAGTAGATAAAGAGAGACTCTAAAACGAACGAAGAAAGAATTAGCAGTGGTCGGGGTAAAAAACGAAAAAGATGAAGGGACAGAGAGTCAACAAGCGTGAGGGACAGAGAGCTTGAAGCCAAGAATACAGAGAGTAAAGATTGGGGACGAAGAGACGAAAGCAGAGAAGGGAGACCCCTAGTTTCCAGGCGGGGAGACCAGAGCTGAGCCCCCTCTCCATTGCAGCCCAGCTGTGGAGAGAGACGGCTTTTCATAAAGGAGGCCACAGAGGTAAGACGACCGTCTCCAGTTGTCACAGGCAGAGAGGCTGATGCTGAGGACACCTGTAGCCCTAAAATCCTGCATTGTCACCTGTGCTGAGACAGGGAGACTTGTGGCAACGTGCTGTCAGGCTTGTCAAAGAGGGGTAGTCTCCTCCCTTGCCTTGAGACACGGGAGTTCTCTTATGTGAGGCAGTAGCACTGGACGCTTTTAGAGGGAAGTCCAACCACTACACAGAGCCTGAAGATAACTCAACAAGACTTCATCTGTTTAATTCCTCCCCCATCTCAACGTGCTGGACAACCGAGGGCTGTGTAACAGGACCGCCAGAGCACAACAGGACATCAATCAAGCAGTTTGTAGCCGGCTAGACTGACACTCAAACATTTAATTAATACACAGGTTACATATACCAGAGCAGGATTTCCATAAACCTGCGTTGTGCTTGAGTAAAAGACAGCGAGGACACTGTCGGTACGTTGGGGCGCTTGTTCTGGTCACCATGAGATCGGACCGCTTGTTGTTCCTGGGCCTGTGGTTGCTAGGCAGCCTGAGCCAGGTCTTCGCCCTGTCGACCTGCAAGCCGCTGGACCTAGAGCTGGCGAAGCGCAAGCGCATCGAGGCGATCCGGGGGCAGATCCTGAGCAAGCTGCGCATGTCTCGCGAGCCCAAGGAGGAGGAGCCCCCCCTGGAGCCCGAGCCGGAGGTGCTGTCGGTGTACAACAGCACCAAGGAGCTGAGTGAGGAGCAGGCCCGCCAGGCTGAGACCAGCCCGGCGGCCCAGCACGGGGAGCAGGAGGAGTATTTCGGCAAGGAGGTGCACAAGTTCATCATGAAGAACAGTGAGTACCACACGAGCGAGCACCTCGGGACACACACACGCACTGACGCCGGGACACTCGCATCTTTACTCCCTTCTCTTTTAAATCTTTATATCTCACTTGTTCTTGGTGTCTTGGTTTGTGGTCGTGTTGCTTTTCAAATCGGTACCTACTAATTAGCTGACAGGTTTCTCCCTACCATGACACTGTGCTCTTGTGCTTAGATGACATCCCAGTGGTAATTGTAAATTGGCTCTTTACTATAAGAGTATCTCGGGCAGACAGTCCCTAACCTCGAGTCCTCCAGGAATGAGAATGAAAGCTTGGTCAACTGGCACCAGTATCGATAACCATTCTTCTCTTTGGGTACAACAGCTGACTGGAATAAAGTCTTTGGGTTCTGAGGCGCAGCCGTACTCTGGTGAGAGTCTGTTAGAAGGAGGAATAGTGCTGGTTTCAGGTGAGACAGCAGAGTTTCGAAGTCATAACCTCAGGTCATTGGAGATGCACGCCTTAACTCTGGCCTGTAACTGTGGCCCTGGGCACCTTGCGTCCTCTCCCTGGCCTGTATCTGGGATGCAGGACATGTGCCACCTTCTCTCCTCCCCGTCTGTAAGACACCATTTGTCATACACTTTTGCCCCGGCCCATATCTGGAACGCTGAGCAGGGATCATTTTTAGTTTTGTGGTTTATTTCGTTTTTTGCGATTTGGATGAGTTCCTCCTTGAGCTTTTTCTGCGGTGTTCATGCTAGTGTGTGCTGATGTAGGGCACAGACCTCATGCTGTCTCAGTCCTGGTTTGTGAAGGGAAAGGCCCTCTCGTTTCTCTAGTCATGCCTCCAGGCTGTTGTACACAATTGTTGGGCAGCAACAGACACTAATATGTCAACGGTCTTTGTTGGCAAGCAGTACCGCACTGTTCCGCTAGTATCCATGGCGTTTTTATGGCTGGGATGTTTGAGTTGGCTCATTATAGTGTTGAGTCTCCAGGTGTGAGGTGAGCGTCTGTCTCTCTGTGGCTGTCTACCTGTTTGAGTGTCTTCCTGTGTGTGTGTGACACTTGTCCGCACAAGAGCCTCCTGACAAGCATGGTGGGACGATGTCCCCCCAATGTCAGTGGTTACGTTTTACGAACCAAGTGGCTTCTTCTTCTAAACCTACAAGCACCAAAACATGTTCGTTTCAGGTCTGCTTTCACCCTGTGTGGAGTTTCGTTTGAATAGAGTGTCGATTTCTTAGTAGGACTAGAAGGAGAGGCAAGTGGAAGTCCCCACGAAGACAGGAACACAGCGTATATCTGTGCATGTGACAGTGTGTGGGCATCCATTGATATCAGTGTGTGTGTCTGTTTTGTACATCGTTAGGCCCATGTGATTTAGGTTTACTGACACACAGCAGCTGTAAAGCAGGGAGGAAATTAACAGTAGACTTGTTCCACACACCCACTCTTACACCTCCCCTCCCCCATCCCCACCTCTCTGTCTGTCTGTCCTTCTCTCCCTTCCCCCGTTTCACTAACAGAATCCTGTTCTTTGTGTCATTCAGACAGCCTTCTGTATTCAGAGACTGTGGAGAGAGAGGAGAGGAACTCTCTGGACTGAAACTTAATAGCAAAAAAAGAAAAAAGAAACACTGAAAGTGGAGTAAAAGAGGGTCAGATGTAAAGAGATGTGTGTGTGTGAGGGAGAGATGCCCCCCTCTCTTCCTCCCACTTTCCCTCATTCTCAGGGCCAGAGTGCCGGGGGGTTTTCCTGTAACTGGATCTCTGTACTCACCACAGAGCAACAGCCACAGCCCCTCTCACTCCCTCTCGCCTCTACCTGCATGTCAGTGTGTCAGTCAGACAGGCAGCATGTCAGTAAGCCAGTGTGTCAGACAGACAGCGTGGAGGTCAGTATCTCAGTCAGCCAGTGTGTCAGACAGGCAGCATGTCAGTCAGCCAGTGTGTCAGACAGGCAGGATGTCAGTCAGCCAGTGTGTCAG